TCGGGGATATGAAACCATAGAATATCTTGGTTTTTAGAGATTAAAGACTTAAGGTGGGTGATTTAGGCATTAGTCTAAAGTTAGACAATAATGAAAAAGACTGGGATAAAAAGATATACAAACTTAAAGGTGTTACTAAAGGCTTTTGTACCTAAAAAATATTCAATGATTTTTTAAAGGGGAACATGGTTTCAAAAAATGAACTTTATGAAGAATAAGTTTGCCCTCCTGTAAACCATGAAAAGATGTATAAACTTTATAGAGACCAATAGACTTGAGCTAAATAATGCAGGACTAAACTACACATAGATGCATGAGGCATTAAAAACAAGAAGTATTAGAGAAGTAATTGAAATCTGGGCAGAATATTTTGCTAATGATATTTAATATATTCAATAAATAGCAAACAGAATGAAATCAGAGTTTAAGCTTGAATCAATCTAGAATATATACCACATCTCAAAGTATAAAAATTTCCTAGTGAATAGATTCTAGAAATATCTTCATATCTATGATAAAAAAGTAACAAGCAATGATTAATAATTCAATAAACAACTTTCTAAAATATAGATAGCCAGCAAGCTCTGATAAGACATAATATATGTAAAGTGCCCTTAAATAATTGACTCATTCTATAATGGCGATTACAAAATGGATTCATCTCTATACAAGCTTAAATATGACACTAGTTTCAAATAAATACTTATCAATAGGATCCAGGAGAATAGCCAAAATAATTTAACTAATAAGAATTCGTACAGTTGGCATTTTATTTACAGGAACTTTAGAATATTTTTTACTTCCACTCACAAGATTACTCAATAGTTGCAGTCTCGTTTTTAATTATCAACTTTTAGGATGAAATTCAAATATAGATTAATTTTGCTCAATATATTGAGAACTTAAAGCTTTACATAAAATTTATGTATTTCAGCTGTGAAAGAGTAGAATTTTGGGACAAACTTGTGGAGTAAATTGGACCATACACATAACTCAATCTTGAGACAGAGTATTTTTATTCACTTTTAAAAAAAGCTAGTTTAATATTGTAAAGTCCTAATGTTAGTGATGAAGAAATAAATACATCTTAAGAATTTTTCGAAACTTTTATTTTATCAAGAATTTTGGAAAGATGAGGATTTAGAAATTTATTCAATGGTTGGTTTTGCTGAGTCTTTAATAAAAATGTAATAGTGGTCCTAAGGCTTAGAAAGTTTATAAGAGATCTTTAGAGATAAGATTTAATCCAAATATGAGTACAAGTATATCAAAGTTGCGAACTATATGGCTAAATTTTTAAAATTTTGTTGCAAATTTTAGGAATCCTTAGATATTGCAAATCTTTGGTTGATTTAATGGAGAGGACTCTTAGGGCTAGCTCATCCTAATACTTTGGAATTGTACGGCTTAATAGCACTAAATTAGCACTAAATTAGATTAGGCTCAAATTTGAAAATGATGACACTATCATATTTCTGTACAAACATTCAAAACTTAATCAAGCAGCTAAAAAATAATTTGATGCATATTATGAGACCTTTTAAACAACTCAAATAGACTAGAATCTTAAATTATCTGATGAATGAGTACATGCAACAACAGCTTTTAGATTTACCTTCATTATCAAAGCACAGATTTTTAAATTTATTGCATTATTTTCAATTAACTATTTATACATTTAAACTAAATTTTACCCCTTAGTTTATCGTATTAATGATCAAGGGGTTTTGGGGTTTTGGGG